TATTCACGATTCACCACCAGCTCCCATCCCATTCCTACCTCCTGGACGTAGACTGGCTTGACTTGGCTCCTTCTCTCTCCTCTTGTACGAGTACTCGTGCGCTAGCTTTCTCTGACTTGGCCAGTCTGCGTGAGTGAGACCACTCATGCTATCCTACTCTTGCAGCCTTCCCCGCCCTCATGATCACCACTAATTTCTCAGCTGCTGTCATTCCATTTCATTTCATTTCATTTTTCTCCTTTTGTGTAACACCGTAAGGTGGAGTAGGCCTCGTTTAGTCGTGCCTTAAAGTTTATTTTCTATCACATCAAATATTTGACATATATATAGAGTATTAAATATAGACTAAAAAATAACTAATTATATAGATTATGACTAATTTAAGAAACGAATTTTTTAAGCCTAATTAGTCCATGATTTAACAATGTGGTGCTACGGTAAACATATGCTAATGACAGATTAATTAGGCTTAATAAATTCATCTCGCAAATTACTGATGACTTCTGTAATTTATTTTATTATTACTATCCGAACTCTCCCATATGACATCCCGATGTAACATCTCTAAACTTTATTTCCTAGATTTAAACACCACCTAAGCTGTGTTTATTTCCCCTCCTAAACTTTAGCCCCTGTCACATCGGATGTTTGGACACATGTATAGAGTGTTAAATATAGAATAATTATGAAACTAAATGCATAGATTGAGACTAATTTGCGAGACGAAATTTTTAATCCAAATTAGTCGATGATTTGACATTGTGGTGCTACAGTAAACATATGCTAATGACGGGTTAATTAGGCTTTATAAATTTGTCTCGCGGATTACTGAGAAATTGTGTAATTTGTTTTATTATTACTATGCAAATACTCGATGTGACATTCCATGTGATACACAATGTGATATTTCTAAACTTTAGCGTCTGAATTTAAACACCGCCAATGTCCCATCACAACTGAAGAGAATTATGCATGTACTACGTCCCCTTTACCTGTTAAATCCTGTTTGGAAATGTCCTTGCAAAACCAAGGACAACCTTTCCCTGTTTTTTTTAATCAACCAAGGACAATTTCACTTACACGCCAAAGATTTTTTTTCCTATAAGCTTTGCACGTTTTTCCTGACGATCGGTGACACGCTGTCCTTCGACACAGCCACACTGTTGCGCCTGCACACAGCGTAAATAAAGCGGAAAAGGAAAAAAAACAAAGCAGAGGCCAACGCACGGGCACAGCCGCTTCCCGCCGCGCAGGCCGCAGGCGCAGAAGATCCCGCGGCCCCGCCGCATGTGACGGCCACTGCAGGCTGCAGCCGCGATACGGACGGCCGCGATCGCGCGGAGCCCGAAGGCACAGAGCCGGACCCGGGCGTGGGCTCTCCGTTCCCGACGCTGCCCCTGCGCCGTCTCGGCCCGCGCACGCGCATCCAGTGGCAGGCCGCCGTAGTTTTCGGCGAACGCCGTGCCGCGTCTCCAAGCGGCGGCCCATCCCCGTCAAAGCAGGGGCGGCACGTGAACCAGGACGGTCAGCATACACGCCACGTGTCGGACAGCGAGTGGCACGTGCGACGTGGAGGAGGGGAGGGGGAGGATCTCGGTGTGGGCGTTTTGCCCCTTTCTTCTCTTTTCTCCTCTTCGCCCGAAAAGAGTGTGAAATAAATTCGGACCCAGTTGCACTGCCAGTTGTGTATGATAAGTAAGTGCGCTTATATAGGCCGATGGGATAGGTAAAATGGCTTATCGCGTTAAAGGCTCGACAGCTACTCGCGCACTAGGGCGCAGCGAGAAAGCGACAGGTCTGGGAAACCGAGAATTATTGCGACCCAAATCCAGCAAAGCTACGCGTACCCGGGACATCTCAACACGTCTTTTTCACGTCTCTGGCTAGCTAGCTTTTTTTTTTAATCATAGCTAGCTTTTTAATGACTGCACCTAACCTAGCTTTTATGTCCCCTGCTTTTATTTCTTTGGTGAGGAGTGACTAATGAGGATACTTCTTGTCCTCCTGTTGTGTCTAAAGTACATTCATTTGGTAAGAATGCTTATTTGAGTTGCATGTGTTGTGTATTTTAATTTTCTATTATTTTTAATAAATAACATATTTGTTAAAGGAAGATGTAATAAGGTTGGCAGGAAGCAAATATTTTTTTAATAAAAACACAGACAAACACACAAAAGTTCATGTACACACAATTTTTAAAAGACATATGCACGCACACCCATTCTTTATAGAGCACGTCTGAGAGAATAAGCTAGCACATTCTCGCACTAACAAAGTCACCACATGCACCTTTCTATAAACGACCATGTCGCCTACCACTAATGAATTAAGTTTTGTGGGGATGCATCGAACATAAAAAAGATTTACAACGCACATATTTATATCCCTTTTTTTGTAATGATGTGCACGTCAAAGTTTCCACATACAAAGCGCGTCGAGGTGAAAAATTGCTTAGAGAAGCTCCAATGTTGGCCAGAATCGAACGTTGGTAGAAGAAAAGTGAACCGAGCACACTAGAGCATTCATACGTTAGATGTCAGAGGCAAAACCGCACTCTACAGTTGGTTCACACCGAGAAGTATAAAGAAACTTTTCCGATGCCACCACCCGCCTACTCTTGCCAGCATCGTATAGATAAAACATGATTATTTAATTCCATTTGGGTCCCACAAAGTCGACGCTCATTGGAGGCATCGATCTTTGTTTGCATTCGACTTCATCGAATTAGACGGTTCGACATGACACTGGAGCTGCTCTTATGGCTCAGTTGAACACACACTAAAGTAGCCTCACAAAAAATGTTGTCTCGTCAAAATCTATGGAACCAACTTGTTGTTGTGGTTTTGTCCACATGTGGACATCAGTTCGTTGGTCGTTGCTGATTTTCTCGCTTGTAGATGCCTAAATCAACTAGGCATTAGCGTTAGCTTGTGGGTGAGCTAATTGTCGGTTCTATCCAACCGCTGATCATCCACATGGTCAACTATTGACGATTTGTTAGGGCTACTATGAGCATCGATTTGAATGGCCTGTAAGTTCTTTGCAGCATATCTAGTTTAAGAAGTAGCACCAATGCATTATACTTTGACCGTTTAAGTGTATAACGACCAAGTTTCCTTAGAAACATCCATGAATAATATATATAAGAATGCATTTATGCAATTTTTTTGACTACTTATGATCAAGTGGAAGTTAAAATTTTCTATACCTAAAACATGTTGAGGTAGAAATTTTAGAATGCCTATGACTCGTTTGGATACTCCCTAAAACACCCTCACAAAAAAACCTCTATTTTGATAAAAAAAAGTCTCGTGAACCAACAGGCCACCGTGGTATTGTCTCGCATATGGGTGCAAACCAGTTGGCTGTCGCGAGATTTCTTGTGCCCGGCGGCATTGGCGCCGAAATGAACTAGGCGTTAGTGTTAGCTTGTGGATGAGCCAATAGCCGGTTTATATCCAAACACCGACCATCTGCACGGTCAACCATCGATGTATTGCTAGGGCTGCTATGAGCGTCGATTTTTAGATGGCAAATGATTTTTTATAACAAATCAGATTTAGAAAGTAGCCAAATGCATTCTTATATTATGCATGACCTATTTTATCTCATACAAAATATACATACATGGTTTTTTATGGCAATGACCAAGTAGTAGGGTTGCAAAATTAATAGAGGTTGGAAAATGTTTGCTTTCATGATCAAAACTTCACATGTTAAAATAAGCTTCCCAAAGAGTATCGATTATCAACTGCGTTGGATACAATTTTTTTTGCAAGATGGTGCTTTTGTACAGTAACTTGAAAAATAAAATACTTTTATAGCAAAAAATATATTAGTTTACTGTAGAGCCAAGGACTGCGTATGGCCTGTGGATGCATAACATCTTTCAACCTAGTATATATCTTCTCTATATATATACTATTTTTTGCAACAACAACAAGCTATATCTACAAAAGAGAACATATTCTATCTCAAGTCATGATCAAACTAGTACAGCCTGGAAAGCTGGGTAGGTACTGGGTGCGCCTACCACGAACCCGCCCCGTTCAAAATTCGAAACCGGCGATGCGCCAGAAAGCGACGGAGGGAGAGAGAGAGAAAAAAACAGGCAAGAAAAAGGAGTTAATGGGTACGAGGAAGGATGACGTGGCAGCAGGGAAAGCTGACAGTATCCGGCTCCCCAAATGACCGTTCCACCCCTCACCGGGGGCCACGATCATCGTGGGCCCCGCAACCACCCCCAGATGCTCCGCGAACCCCCCGCGCCGAATGACGGAAAGACCCCTCCCTGGCTCGCAAGCGACCGCACGACCGCCGCTTTTCCGCTTCTATCCTCACCAACGGAAATTACGAGGTTACCCCTGGAGACCTGATGCGACAGTGGCAGCTGCGTAAATACAGTGGCTGCGCCGAGGGCGTTACCGTCATTGCTGGGGTTGTCTGGGTTGCTATATATGGGGGGAATGGTCGAGGTGGCTATAAAACGCGGTCCAAAAAACCAAAAGGGTAGAGGAAAAAATAGAGTTGAGAGAAGTTTTCGGAGAGAGAAAGTAAGCGAGAGAGAGATAAGAAGGGAAACGCGGCGGCTGGAGCTGAGGTGTGGAGACGGAGGCAGCGGCGGCGGCGCGGCCAAACCCTAGCCGACGGCGGCGCGTTCGAGGCGGGACCCTCTGTAGGCGCCACCTGGCGGTCGGATTCGAGCCGCCGGCGTCGGCAGCTGCAGATCGGCGGTCGCGCCGACGGAATCGGCGGGGATCCCGCCGGGATGGGCGCGGCGAGGCCCGTGCTCCGGTTGTGAGTTTGCTTGGTTCGTGGGTTCTGGCTCTGGGCTGGCGAGCAAGGTTCTGAGCTCGGCGTGGGCGCTTTGCTTGCTTGCTGTGGCTTTTTCGGCGGTTTCGAGCGGGTTTTGCGGGGGATTTGGGAGGGATCTGCCGGGAAGGCCCGAGGTTTAGGCGGGTTTTTGAGAGCTGGAGGCTCCGGCTGGGATCGGGGGAGCCATGTCGTCTCTTAGCAGGGAGCTGGTTTTCCTCATCCTGCAGTTCCTCGATGAGGAGAAGTTCAAGGAGACGGTGCACAAGTGAGTGCTCGCCATGATCAAGAATGGGGTTTTTGGTGCCTTGCCTTGCTGGGTGAGCTGGGATTTCTGATGCCTTTATGCGGTTGCTTGCCCCTGCAGGCTGGAGCAGGAGTCGGGCTTCTACTTCAACATGAAGCACTTCGAGGACCTCGTGCAGGGCGGCGAGTGGGACGAGGTGGAGAGGTACCTCAGCGGCTTCACCAAGGTGGAGGACAACCGCTACTCCATGAAGATCTTCTTTGAGATCCGCAAGCAGAAGTACCTCGAGGCCCTTGATAGGTGACGGACTCATCACTAAGCTACTCTTGGTCCCTTGTCGTTGTCAAGGTTGTTTTTTTTTTTGCTGAATTTGCTGTCGGTGTCACAGGCATGATAGGGCCAAGGCTGTGGAGATTCTCGTGAAGGATCTCAAGGTGTTCGCCTCCTTCAATGAGGAGCTGTTCAAGGAGATAACACAGCTGCTGACCTTGGAGAATTTTAGGTACGGTAACTCTCCTTTCAGAAGCAAAATGTTTAGTGCATTGGGCCGGTGCATCCAGATGTGATTGTGTATTGATGATCAACAGGCAAAATGAGCAGCTGTCCAAGTACGGGGACACAAAGTCAGCCCGGAATATCATGCTTTTGGAGCTCAAAAAGCTCATTGAAGCGAACCCCCTGTTCCGGGACAAGCTGAATTTCCCACCATTCAAAGCTTCGAGGCTTCGCACATTGATCAATCAAAGGTGTTGATTGTTTAATTTTGATATGTCTAGTCACACATATTGACTTTTATTGTTTAATTTGATATGTTTAATCACACATATTGACTTCCTTAAAATATCAGGAATGCGATTTGTGAATAGAAATTCTATGATGTTCTTTGGTATCAATTTAATTAGATTGTATGGTAGCATTTGATTTTTATGTGCACAATTGATATAAATCAAATAGTTCAATCACGCATATTGCTTTCAGTTTACTATTTTTGTTCTTTATCTTCTTTCTGGTTATTCTGATGCCAAATAATGTGTTTCGTTGACTTCCCTTAGTATTTATGGATGGATAAGGTTACAGTTAAATGTAGTCAATGCTTCCTTTGTTCTTTTGACTTGTTGGAATTTTATTGCTCCTGGTTGTCCAGCACTACAGAATCTTCTTGATATGGTTGTTGCTTTTGGGATTGTTTTCATGTGATTTGGACATCTCTACCTGTTTATCCCAAGTAACCAGCTTTTATCGACAATGTGCAAAGAAATTTTGTCTCTTTATAGCGGCTCTAGCTTTAGATGCTTATGTTATAGCAGATACCATCCAGTTTTCTTATTGTAAGGTCATATCCATACATGCCGCAATTGGGTTTTCTCTACTTGTTATGCCTACAAGTCTAACAATGCTTCCAGAAGCACATTTTGTGCATGTAAAAGGTGAGGCTAACTGGGCTTTATTTCTTTCTTTCTAATGCCTTTCAGTCTAAACTGGCAACATCAGCTCTGCAAGAACCCCAGACCAAACCCTGACATCAAGACACTCTTTACTGATCACTCTTGTGCTGCTCCTACCAATGGAGCAAGAGCACCTCCACCTGCCAATGGTCCGCTTGTTGGATCCATCCCTAAGTCAGCTGGATTTCCACCAATGGGTGCTCATGCTGTAAGTATTATCACAAGTAGGTCATTTAACTTATCCTGACTATCGATTGCTTATACTGCATCAATGTTGCAGCCATTTCAACCTGTGGTGTCGCCATCTCCAAACGCAATTGCAGGTTGGATGACAAATGCCAACCCCTCTTTGCCTCATGCTGCTGTTGCACCAGGACCACCTGGTCTCATTCAGGCTCCAAACACAGGTATGTTGAAAGTAATTGTGCTAAATGGTGGTTGTCGCTGGTGGCAGTGTTTGGCCCTTTCTGAACTTTCTGTTTGTTCCCAGCGGCATTTCTAAAGCATCCTAGAACCCCTACAAGTGCACCTGGCATTGATTACCAATCTGCAGATTCAGAACATCTCATGAAAAGAATGCGTGTTGGACAACCAGATGAGGTATTAGACGAACTCAAGTCTGATTTGTGTTTGACCTCATTTTCTTTCTGTACTTCACATAATCAAACAAGCTATGATTCATTGAAACTATGACAGGTATCTTTCTCTGGTGCAAGCCATCCTGCCAATATGTACACACAAGAAGACCTTCCCAAACAAGTTTCTCGTACCCTTAATCAGGGTTCTAATGTTATGAGCCTGGATTTCCACCCCGTTCAACAAACCATTCTTTTAGGTACTTGCTGGGAACATGTCCCTTGATTATTGAACTGTTACTTTGGTAACTGTCCATTATATTTACAGTTTCCTGACCTAAACAGTTGGAACAAATGTTGGTGACATTGCGGTGTGGGAAGTTGGTTCACGGGAAAGGATAGCTCACAAGACTTTCAAAGTTTGGGATATTGGTTCCTGTACCTTGCCTCTGCAGGTGACTACTTTAGTTATTGTGTATGAGTTTTGTGCAGCTGGAAGCAGCTTGGCGCCTTGAATGGTAGGTTTTCATTGACAATCTGTCACTGTATGTGCAGGCTTCGCTGATGAAAGATGCTGCAATATCTGTCAATAGATGTCTGTGGAGCCCAGATGGAACTATTCTAGGTATGGGAGTGTTTATTTCAGTGCTATTATTCACATTTGGTTATGCTCTTGTTAAAATAAGACGCTGGCCATTATGGTATACTTGGGGTGTTCTATTTTGTTTGAATCTTGATATTGATGTTGTTGCATAATTGTGGTGTTCTATTTTGTTTGGATCCTAATGGAGATATTGAATTCCACATGTTGCTTTTTCCAGGTGTTGCTTTCTCGAAGCATATTGTTCAGACATATACTTTTGTCCCTAATGGAGATTTGCGGCAGCAAGCAGAGGTGTGTGCACGTATTCTAATACTGATTGAGGAATAGATACTAACTGCCTTTAAGGTCCCTAACTCTTTTGGAATTACAGATTGATGCACACATCGGTGGGGTTAATGATATAGCCTTCTCTCACCCTAATAAAACTCTATCTATCATTACATGTGGTGATGATAAACTCATTAAGGTGAGGATATTGTGTGATCTCTTGTTTTTTCTCAAAACAAACAAGAACATCTTGAGTATATTCGGACACTGGATTTGGCAGGTTTGGGATGCTCAAACAGGACAAAAGCAGTACACTTTTGAAGGCCATGAAACTCCTGTGTATTCTGTATGCCCTCACTACAAGGAGTCCATTCAGGTACCCTTGGAATGACTTCAATGCTGATATTCTTGAAAATTATCTATTTATTTTGCACTGGCATTATGTTGCATTAGTATTCTGGCTATGTTCCGACTGCTGCTATTTTTTGAGAAAAGACATTTGTGTTCCAGTTTAGCATCAACTACGTCATGTTTATTGCTGTAATGGTCCCATTTAGTATCAACTACTCCATGTCCATTGCTGTAATGGTTGACGCGTCAAGGTTCTGATATGCTTTATTTTATCGTTACTAGTTGCCATCTTTCATGTATTTCTTAATTTTAGCTGTCTTGCTCTGTAGTTTATCTTCTCTACTGCCATTGATGGGAAAATCAAGGCATGGTTGTATGATTGCTTGGGCTCAAGAGTTGACTATGATGCTCCTGGACATTGGTGTACTACCATGGCTTACAGTGCTGATGGTACAAGGTGAGACATAGCAAGTGTTAATATAGAGTTTAATATCTGCTGACGAGTAACAAATTATATAACTTCTTGATTCATTTTCAGTTTCACAAATTTCATCTGTTCACTTACGAATTTTTTCATGCAGGCTATTCTCTTGTGGTAGTTCACTTACGAATTTTTTCATGCAGGCTATTCTCTTGTGGTACTAGTAAAGAAGGTGATTCACACTTGGTTGAATGGAATGAAACTGAAGGGGCTATTAAGAGGACATACAATGGCTTCAGGAAACGTTCACTCGGTGTTGTTCAGTTTGACACAACTAGGAATCGCTTCTTGGCTGCTGGAGATGAATTTCTTGTTAAATTCTGGGATATGGATAACAATAACATACTAACAACAACAGACTGTGACGGTGGACTGCCAGTAAGTATCTTCCCTTTTTTCTCTGTTACCATGCTGACCAGCTTCTCGCGAGTTATACCGGTTAGAGCAGTGTGCTCGGGGGTCTCCCCTTGCCGGTCCGTGTTTGAATCCTGGTAGAGCTTCTTATTGCAATGCCCAGGGTACCTCTTGACCCTGTGGTGGAGTTCTTTTTTCTGTTACCATGCTGAAGCTTTTTGCTTAACATTGTTTTACTGATATATTGCAGGCAAGCCCTCGTCTGAGATTCAATAGAGAAGGTTCATTACTTGCAGTTACAACAAGTGATAATGGAATAAAAATACTTGCCAACACTGATGGACAGCGCTTGCTTAGGATGCTTGAGAGTAGAGCATTTGATGGCTCTAGAGGACCTCCTCAACAAATAAATACCAAGGTAGTGATACATAAACTTTTCGTTCACATAATTTGGTTCTATTTACTTTTATTCTTCTGTCACACTGAAAATTTTGTTAGACCCTATGAGCTTATTTGTTCAGTGCTGCAATTTGCCTCAAAACTGAGGCAAGCATGTCTATCCTGGGCAAGTACTCACTCCAGTCAACAATAAGTGGGCTCTCTGTAAATTTTGACTACTATTTTTTATATAACACCTGTAAAATATAGCAAATATATACTTCTGTGAAACTATTTTTCGAGACAAATCTACTCATATTACTTACAATAAGTATTCTGTAGTCAATTTGGAAGTGTTGACTTCAGACAACCTCAAAACGTCACTTATTTTTGACTGGAGGGAGTATCTTATTTTCTGCATCTGGAATTGTTATTAGGCATAATTTCTTGACAATTGTTGTACATTTTTGTGGTGGATGAAAGCTAATTGTTTCTTTCTCCCTCTGGTGCGTTGGGAAGATACACTAGGAGTGTTAAGTAGTCAAGTAATTCATCCGACTGTACTTCACCACTTACCTGCCTTCTTTTGCTTTCAATTCGTGCTGGAAATTTAGTGAATATTGACAAGGTTTGTTGTTAGCTTATTCTCATATTTGGTTTTATTGCAGCCTCCAATTGTTGCCCTTGGTCCTGTTTCAAATGTCAGCAGTCCTATAGCAGTAAATGCCGAGCGACCTGATCGGATCTTGCCTGCAGTGTCGACAAGTGGCTTGGTAAGTTCCTTCTGCCTTTACCATCCTCTCTTGCTTTTCATTATGTAGGTTTGCTAAAGGTAAAAAATTCGCAGGCACCTATGGATCCAAGCAGAACTCCAGATGTTAAACCAAGAATAACAGATGAATCCGAAAAGGTCAAAACCTGGAAGTTGGCTGACATTGTCGACAATGGACATCTTCGAGCCCTGCATTTGACAGACACGGACACGAACCCAAGCAAAGTACGATATATTGTGATTGAGTTATACAGTTTAATCATGCATAATCAATCCGACACATGAGTTACTCTTTATATTGATGTTCTAGGTTACGTAAATTTCTGATGGAGGTATATGTTTATTTCTTTGTTCCACAGGTTGTCCGTTTGTTATATACAAATAATGGGATTGCACTCTTGGCTCTTGGCTCCAATGCTGTTCATAAGTTGTGGAAATGGCAACGGGGCGACAGAAATCCTAGTGGCAAGGTTAGACCAGAGAATTTTACTTTCTTCAATTTTGATTGCAATCTTGTGTTCCTGCTTTCTGAATTTGTTATTTGTGTGTCCTGTTAGTCTACTGCATCTGTTGCACCTCACCTGTGGCAACCAGCAAATGGGATTCTGATGACTAATGACACACGAACGATGGCAACCCAGAAGAAGCAACCGCCTGCATTGCATTGTCCAAAAATGACTCCTATGTTATGTCTGCCTCTGGTGGCAAAGTCTCATTGTTCAATATGATGACATTCAAGGTAGATGTCCTTTTCAGTGCCACACCATAATTTTATTCGTTTCGTTTCATAGATATCCATGAGTCAATGGTAGCTGTAGTTTGCTGCTGATAGCTTCTGATAAAAAAGTGTTATTCCATGATCGCACCATTGCCAGTCTCTGACACTAAAGCTTGGATCTGGGATCTCTGACAGGTCATGACTACTTTCATGGCACCTCCGCCTGCTGCAACTTTCCTTGCATTCCACCCATAAAGACAATAATATCATCGCTATTGGAATGGAGGACTCTACCATCCAAATCTACAATGTCCGCATTGATGATGTATGCTATTGTCTCTTTTTCCTTAATACGAAACAAAGTGTCCATTATGCAAATTATGATGTTTTAATTTAGCGACTGAACTTTATATTTGACTTATAAGACTTACAAAACATGTTCGCCATTTGAATTGTGAAAATGGCACTATAAAATTTCTTATGAATTATAAGCATTTATAATTTAACTAACATAGGGAATTGGTAGTCAAAATAATTTAGTTAACATAGAGAACTTGTAGTCAAAATAATTTAACTAACATAGGGATATTTTTTTGTGAACTATCTATTGTAGACTGTTTGGTGAGTCAAATATTTTTATATTTAACTAATGGAAGTATTTTTTTTGTATTTTGGAATAGAGCTTGGTAGACCCTGTAATGCTATTTTTCATACTTACATTGCAATCAAATATTATACGAGCACTCAGTAGTACCCAACTAGCTTGCCTTCAAGAGTTATAGATTTGGCCATTTGGGAGTTTGTTGTATCATTAACTGCTGTAATCCTGAATCTTGCACACTTTAATATATTTGTTTTCCTTTGCATATATTGTTGCAGTCTTTTTGTTAATGTGTCTTTAATCTTACACCAGGTCAAAAGTAAGCTCAAGGGACATCAAAAGAAGATTACTGGGCTGGCCTTTTCTCAATCAATGAATGTGCTAGTATCATCAGGCGCTGATGCTCAGGTATGATAATGTCGATTTTGATCTATCAATTTTTTTTTGTGAATATCAAGTTAAATGCTAGAAAACTACTTGCTTATGTTAGTTCCATTAATATACAAAATTTTGATTGCAGTCACTCTGACAAGAATGTATCTGTCTGTCTCTGGGTAATTGATTTCTTGTGTAAATTTTGCAGCTATGTGTGTGGAGTATTGATGGTTGGGAAAAAAAGAAATCAAGATATATTCAGCCCCCAGCAAACCGACCTGGCACTTTGGTTGGTGATACAAGGGTGCAGTTCCACAATGACCAGACACATCTTTTGGTAGTCCATGAGAGCCAGTTGGCAATCTATGATGGAAATCTTGAATGTTTTGCTTTCGGTTAGTTCGCCCAACTTCTGTTCATCTAGTAATGTTTTAGCTTTGCCAATTCTCCTATGGTGAATAAGATTTGATTCATCGATTTCTCTTCATTTCTAATCCCGGCATTTGTTTTTTCATACCACTGGATATTCACATTTTCCATGAATGTGAATTGATATTAACAACTTGATTTCAAAACTGAGCTTTATCATTACCAGATTCATGATGCTTTTGCATGTGTCCTATATATAATCATATATCAATATTAATAAATTGTAGGCTGCACAGTTAGTGCCTTAGTAATGCTATGATACCACTTGTCATAGATCTGTATTTAATCATTCGCAAAAAAAAAAGATCCGTTTTTAATCGAAAGATGGTATCAGTACCTTTGATGCTCCTTGAATTGCTACATTGGGTGTTCTGATCCTGCTATTAATTCTCTTGATATTTGAATATATACAGTGGTCTCCAAGAGATGCACTCCCAGCTCCGATATCAAGTGCAATATACTCGTGTGATGGTCTTTTGGTCTATGCTGCATTCTGTGATGGTGCTATTGGAGTCTTCGAAGCAGAATCTCTTAGGTTGCGCTGCCGGATTGCTCCTTCTGCTTATATTCCACCTTCAATACTAGCCTGGTATGAATGGATCACCTAAACTATTTGCTTTCAGTCTACCATCCTTTTTGCGAGTGATCAATGTCTGCTTGCTGTTTCTGACCTGATCCATATTATCCAACAGTGCTGGACGGGTTTACCCGTTGGTAGTTGCTGCTCATCCCATGGAGCCTAACCAGATTGCACTCGGCATGAGCGATGGTAAAGTCCATGTGGTGGAGCCATTAGACGGGGACCCAAAGTGGGGAACAGCGCCGCCTCAGGACAATGGAGTGCACCCAGCGATATCAGCAGCACCATCAGCCGCTACCAACCAGGCATCTGATCAGCCAACAAGGTGACTCAGCCTGCAGCACTGAGATTTGTTAGGGCAAAGGATGGTAGGGGACCTGTAGGAGATAGGGAGAAAGGACAAACAGTTAGATTATGAGAGGAGGTTATATTTATCAAGTCCACTGTCTCTCTCGTGGCGGCAGCACATGTGGTGAATGGTGATTGACAATGACATCGCTCTAAGTTAGGTTTTGGTTCTTTCCTGGCCCCAGAAATCCTGACCGCGCTGGGCGCCGCCACATCCGAGGGAGATGGGTCTGCTGGCATTATCTTCCTCTTTTGTAAAGCTTTTCCTGCTGAGTTTAGTGGTACCTTAGATTGTCGTTCATTTCTGCTCTGTTCTTTGGGCAGCTATTTGTAGTGTAAAAATATGGTGGCATGTTGGATGGTGATATTAAGCGTGCATGGCCTGTCATGATGAATTTCACCATGTTGGGGGTCTATTTGATGGATGTTTACTTATCATGGCTCTAAATTGTTTTCGTGCCATTTCCATTTGCAATTGTAGACCGTGGAGGACATGGTGTGAGTTCATGAGATTGCTGGAAAGCTGTTTCTGGGTGTGATAGTTGATCGGCGTCTTTGTACTTTATCGTTCACGCAACGCTATTTGTGACTATTACGGCGACATTGTCGTGCTCGTACCATTTCGGCATGCTGCGGCACGCTGGACTTGGAGTAGGCAACTATTGGGAAGGGGTAGAGCATCTCCTCTGCAGTACTGTCCCCAAAAAATTGAGTTCGGAAAACCTGGTTTCTGAGCCTTTTTCTAATCTTCTTTGCAGTTGTGGATTGCCTATGTAATGTTTTGTGCCTTCCATAGTTGATGTTATAATCGTTATGTGCCTCTGTCCATAGAACTGACCATGAGAAAATTGTAGATGCTATGAAGAGTTGCTTACTGAAATGTAGGACTATTATCAAGTACGTATTAGGTATGTCGCCTATTGAAATTGTCAAACAATGTTTTTTTCCCACTGTGTACCATTGTATGATTAGCATGGAGGCTATCCTTTCATTTTGAATTCTAGAAGTATTCGGTCACCTTTTTTTCATAATATTTTCCTCGTTCTGGAAGATCACGCATCGGTGCTGTCTGTTGCTGCTCTCTATCTGCCGGATGGGCGTTCAACTTAGATTGCAATATCAGTTGATGAAGTAGAATCAGCTTTACAGGGTTTAGAAGAATAGCTAGCTTTATTATTATAATACCAACCGAAGATGGTACTTGCTGCAAATATTTTAACCGTGAGGCTTCTCCTTTCAGACCCTACTTACATGCTCTCCAGATACTGCTCTTATCGTTAGAATCGATACTAGTATATGCAGGTGTTAAGTTGCTGCTGCTCCACTACTCTTTGAGAGAGAATGGTGGCTGAACTAGGATAGGATCGACCGTAGTATATGCAGCTGCTGCACTACACTATGATAGAAATGGTGGAGGCTGATAGTAGGCTGCTATGAGCTGACGCTGGCTGGTGTGTTCACCTCTTATTTATAGCTGAACAAGAGAGTACAGAAAACAGTTGCAGTCGCTTTCCTAGAAACAAGAGAAAGACTAGTGAACTGACTTGACTTCAGACATTGACTCACTGAACAGACCTTCAACTTGACTAGACTCACTAATGAAAGGTTAACAGCAGCAAGGATTATACTAACAGCAGGGATTATACTAACACTTACAGTACCTCTTATGGAGCTTCTGAATATCTCTGTATCTTTTTCCGAGGAAGAATATTTAAGTCCTACATCAAATAGTGCAGTATGAAAGTATGTCCTGGGGCCATTAGTAAAAAAATCACTGGAGTATCATCTTCCACCAGTGAATATGCTTGTATCATCTGGTCCGTTCACATTAGTGTGCGAGCACGTGGAAGTCGGTTTTCGGCCCCTCCCAGGTCCCAGACCCAGCGTGTGGTTGTGATGATGCGAGCCGCGTGGGGGCTGGGGAGAATCCTCGGCTCCATCCAGCTTCTCTCTGCCCAATTTGAGGCACGTGCAGGCGGAGCCAGCACCGTGAGGGTGATGTGCCGAGGGATCCGATCCGACCGAGCTGATTAGCATGTGGCCATCCGGCACTAATCGAAACTGTAACTAACAGATGAAAAAGGTGATGCACTGATGCGGATGATGAAAAGCTCAAAAGCACAGGGGAGTATATGTATACGATGACGACGTAGCTTCGTTCCGTCCACCTAGGACTAGTAGCCTACGCCGCCGCAAACGGAACAGATCGAACCAGGGTCTTGTTGACTCGCTCCAACTTTTCACCATAAACAGGAAATGGAAAGTTTCAAAAAAAAAAAAACAGGAAATGGAAAGCGTAAAGAACAGTGGGTGTCGCCGTGGTAAAAGTCAAACTCGGGGTCCACCCGTATACGCTACAGCCATAACACGTCAGCTCGCCAAAGTCATACCGGCTTGGTAGCGTTCGGACGTCCGGATGGGGACGCCCGCACATGCATATCGTTTCCCGCGCTGTTTCGTGCGCCCACACGGGTTCGTGTCGCCAGAATGTTACCAGCATCGAGAAGAAGGGGAGGGGGTAGCGGATGCCCAGCCCGGCGTTGAGAGGAGGAGGAGGAGACATCGAGGCGAGGCAACACGGAAATGCAACGCCCGATCTATTTTTGAAACATTCAGATGCAACACTTGCAACATACATCTGAAGACAGATGAAACACTTGAAACATGCATCTGAAATACTTACGAAAACACATGAAAATCACTTAAAAATCATTGTAAAGCACACACAACATTCAGATAAAACATTTACAACATATTTGTGAAATATATGCAACATACAAATATACACACTTGCAACATACGTCTGAAAAAACAGATGAAACATTGAGAATAGAAGCCTGCAATATACGTGTATAACCATTGCAACATATGTAACATCCTGATCTACTTTTGCAATATCCGTATGAAACACTTGCAACATACATCTGCCGAAACATTTGAAACATACGCTTGCAATATGCGTTTCTTCGTGTCGTGGTGTCTTCGGCCGATTGCGGGAGATGTTGTCCCAGCCGGCGATGACCTTCTCCTGGTGGCGCGGTGCACGCCGTGGCCGCGACGGTTGAGCGCGGTGGTGCGGCGAGGGATGGCCATGGCAACAAGGCGGAGTGGGGTAGCGCGGCGCAGAATGGGAGCGCGCGGGAAGATGGCTGCGACAGCGATGCAGAGTGAGGCGGGCGGACGGCGGCATGGCGCAAAAAACCACACGACAGGTGAGCAAGTCGGAAGATACTTCTGAAAGAGAGACACGAGGGAGATATACAGAGAGACAGGCTTGTTGGCGGCCAGTACGGTAGCGTGCGGAAGGCGGCATCCAGTTGGACGGATGCCCGCCCCTGAGCAATACCGAAGTCATATCCGTCGTCATCGTCAGGTAAAAAAAAAAACAGAGTACTGTATTCCGATCCATTTAGGTCTCGTTTAGTTCGGCCACCGAATCAGCGCCGCCGAATTTTTAGCGGTACTGTAGGTACAGTATCATTTTGTTTTTATTTGGTAATAATTGTCTAATCGTTGACTAATTAGGCTCAAAACGTTCGTCTCGCAAAGTACAACCAAACTGTGCAATTAGTTTTTAATTTCGTCAACATTTAGTACTCCATGCATGTACCACAAATTTGATATGACGGGGAATCTTCTTTTTACGTAGTGTCAAATTCTGGAATTGGGAACTAAACATGCCTCAACCATTCAATCCAGAGTAATCATGATGTGATGACGCCTGCGCCTCGCCTCCGATGGTGTGCTGTGTTTTTGGCCTTACTGATGAGCTGCCCGCTCGGTCGTCTTCGAGCCTCTGACGAGTGGGGTCTCGTACGCGTGCCCTCGGTTCCTCCCTTCCGGTCCTCCCCGTCCGCGTAAGAACCAGAGGGAAAAGGAAAGAAACGAAAACGTGAGAGAAGGGCACTCGCCCACGCCGTGGTGGGCCTGGCCTGGCAGCCCCAACTGCACGGAGAGGAGTCCACTCCACTCCACTCCGATCCGACTCCCACCCCCCATCGTGAGGACAACGTGCGTGATTTAATTAATCATCATAGTTATTAATCTTTTCTACACGTGAGCTCATCTGCTTTTACGATCGCTTAACCAATCGACCAAGTGGGCAAATTAATCAGAGTCATGTGCCATGTCGTCTTCTTGACCCCTTCTTTCATCTCGTGTATCCGACCTTGTTTAGCTGGGTGAAGTTTGAAAATTTGGCTACTGTAGCATTTTTGTTTTTAGTTGTCAATTAATGTTTAATGATGGATTAATTAGGCTCAAAACGTTCGTCTCGCAATTTCCAACCAAACTATGAAATTAGTTTTTTTTCGTCTACATTTAATGCTCCATGCACGTATCGCAAGATTCGATGTGATGGCTACTGTAATATTTTTTGGGAAAATTTTTTACAACTAAACACGGCCTTCATCAGATTTGCCAATCAAGCGCGCTGACCTTTTCACGGTTTAATTGCTGGGCAAGTTGCCATGCCGCTGCACTCTGCACTGCACTGTCCACCACGGGATCTGCATCATTTAGCACAACTGTCCAAAACAAATACAATTCTAGGTAAGAATCATCCGGACAACGTTTTGTTGGGATTTGTATTTGGGTGGTTGAGTAGCTCAAAATAATTTACTCCCTCTGTTCTCAAAGAATAAATTCCTAGCAACCATAGGACAGATTAACAAAGAAGATAAAAGACCCTGTTGTCCTCGTTCAACTGCTGAACCTTAATAGCTCTCCAATTACCGAGAAACCTAATTAAGTAGTATCGTTTGGAGTATCCAATAGCAACGCAAGAGAGGGAGGTTGTGTTAAATGCAACCCAGACAACGAGAGAGATAAATGTGGATCGGTGGACTATTTACCTCCAGAAATTGATTCTTTTAGAGATAAATTTTTGGGCTAGAAATTTATTCTTTCAGGAACAGGGGGAGTATAAGCTGGATTATTACAAGCTACGTTGTTTAGATTAGCTAAAGATTCTTTTAGTAGC